GTGGGGTGTGGGTGTGGGTGGGTGTGGGTGTGGGTGTGGGTGTGGGGTGGGTGTGGGTGTGGGTGTGGGTGGGGTGGGTGTGGGTGTGGGTGTGTGGGGGTGTGGGCGGGTGTGGGTGTGGCTGTGGGTGTGGGTCTGCATGTGAACGAGAGGAACAGCCGCCCACACCCACACCCACCCATACCTGCATGCTATAACAAGCTTTCTCAACAAAGACTTCTTTCATTTCAACAATGGCATTCTTTCCAATCTATCATTATCGTCTTTACGATTATCCAATCGATCGATACTTTGGTGATCGATTGGATTTCTTTGATCCATGGCATGATTTAAATACATCACCAATAGCTGTTGTTATAATTCCAAATACTTTTCGATGGGTTAATGAACCACAACGATCAATGCAATCATCAGGTAATGCACAAGCTAATGATAAAAATGCAAATACAATGACGAGAGCACCTAATTTGGAAAAATTTCGTGTTCAACTTAATGTAGCTGTATTCAATCCAGAAACAATTGCAACAAAAGTTGAAGGTCGAAAAGTAATTGTTGAAGTTAAACAAGAAGAACGTCAATCTGATGGTGATTATAATATTCGAGAATTACGAATATCATATGCATTACCTGAACATGTTGGTATGTAAACACTTATCTATTTGTATGAAATCTTAATACTCATCTTTTTTTGTTCGTATAGATCCGAATTGTTTAGCATCATATGTAACACCAAATAAGATATTAGTTATTGAAGTTCCAATTCATAATCCTGAAGCAGAACGTCGAGTTGCTCAAGCAAAGAATGAAAATCAAAATCTAAGTCAATTTGGTCAACATTGAGATCCACATTTTGATTATAGTAGTTTCTTGCATGGTTCAGATTTTCAACCACGAATTGTTGGCAAAGGTGACAAATAAAAAACAACTTGAAATGTCTATTGAAATGAAAAGCTATAAACCAGAAGAAATCAAAGTATCAGTAAAAAATAACGAATTGATTATCAAAGGTGAACATCGACATAAAGATGATAATAGTTTTGAATAATCATTCTTGTTCAAATCAACAACATTGCCACCAGGTACACAAGTTGAACAACAAGAAGCTACAAAACCTGTTGAAGAACAGAAAAAATAAACTTTTACTATTTCTTTAACTTTATGTATAGTATTAGTTTTTTTGTGTTTATTAGATAATAAAAAGTTAGAAAAGAAAGTCCTTATTCTCATTGATGTGCTGTTTTATAGCTGAAGAATAAGAGCAAATGCTTATATAATAATTGCTTAAGTGAAAAAAGGTTGTTTTTATAGCTTGAAATCAAAGAAGAGGTTCACGAGAGGTATTTTAGTGTCTTAAAGTCTGTTTATATTCATCAAAAGCTTTGAAGAACCAATACTATATTTGGCTTGTCAACCTTTTGATTTACGGAGAGATGGGCATTCTTGTCCATTTCTTTTGGTTGATTCATGAATTTTTCCTTTTTTCAAAAGGAACACTTGAAATAGTTTTATCTCTAAACTTGCTAGATATGAATGATAGAATATTAGAAGACAAACGAAAACTCAATAGTAGACTCTGAAAAATCTTTGTCAACTTAATTCAACTAAGTTCATGAATGCAATCAAACTGAGTTGAGTTGGTCATTTTTCGAATTGAGTCGCCCAGCTATGTCGTATCTCATTGTTAACGGCAACATTCCTCAACTCGCGAAAAAGTCAAAAAGTTCCAGCATTATAACCTTTTCACCATCTATTATATCTATCATGAAATTTTCAGCAACATTCTACTCAGGATGTGGGTATGGATGTTAGAGACTCGATCCACACATCCACATCCACACCTTAAAACGACGAGAAAGTAGTCCATGTGAAACATTATCGACTTTGTTATTTTAGAAACTTTATTAGTAGTTTTTTAATTGTAAACAAAGCTCATTATACGTCTAACCTTTGACAGAAAGCATTACTCTGTATAGAAAATAAGGAACATAGAGGAAAATTTTTATTCATAGTCTTTAATCTGTTAATAAAGATTAAAACTAGTTTGAATCTGTAAATAATTGCATATTGATTCAAAATATGCATTTTAGAAAAAGAAGGGAAATTCATTCAGTATTTGAAAACGACTGATTAAGCCTAATGGCCTACTTTTTGAAACAGGAAAAAAAATTGTAAAACTTCAGTTGCAAGAAGAATCAAAACATAATTTATCATATGCCATTTGAAACAGTTACAAAATCACTTGTACTTGCTGTAATGATATAATTTCAAATGTATGCGGTTACATGAAAAAAATAAGTTTGATATAAGAGGTACGTCTGGCAAAGACAGAAGCTGCAAGAAATTCTTAAGAGCCAGTCCATATAAGCCACGACCGATATAGCAGAGACTTGCTCAATCGATGTCGTCAGATCTTGCTCAATTTAACAAATGTTATAGAGGGAAGTATTCTAAGAATTTTGACGCAAGCCGTTTCTAAAAATATTTATCCCTCGATTTTTTATGAGCATTTTACTAACAGCCCTAACAACAACCCATTTAAAAAACGGGAGTCCTAATGCAATGATATCTCACGAATGGCACAATAGATTTAGATGAAATTTTTTGTAGACATATAACTCAGTGAGTTCTATTAGCCATAAAATTTTTATTGAGAAATATTGAGCCATTGAGATTTTACGAAGCATACAATATGCGAAAAAATGCTGATTTTTGATAAATTTTGTACTTCATAACTTTTGATTGGAATGAGATCGAAGTCTGAAATTTTCAGCATAGATAGAGCACTACAAGATACATGTCTCCTGAAAATATCAGCTATCTATATTGTTCCATTCGCTCAGATGAGTTCTCTGAAAAACCGGTTTTTGATGAAAATGAGGTTTTTCTCGGTTCGCGTTCTCCCAAGAAATGGATTGCCTGGAAAGTTGGTCTTTAGAAGTTGGAAGTACTCTCTTAGTGCTATATGCCCATAAAAACATTAGCGTGGATTCCCTAGAAATGGCTTGCACAGGAGGTCATCTTTGGGAGGTGTATCTGAGATGGTTAGACCATTTTATAAGTCATGGAATGTAAACCTTGACCCTGTTTGTCCGAGACGGGGTAGTCGAATTTTGCTCAACTTAACATATGTTATAGAGGGAAGTATTCTAAGAATTTTGACGCAAGCCGTTTCTAAAAATATGGATCTTTTGATTATTTAGGAGCATTCTATGAAACGTCCTATTAAGGTTCCTCTTTCAAAATGGGGGTTTTAATGCAATAATATCTCACGAATGGCTCAACAGATTTAGATGAAATTTTTGTAAACATATATCTCAGTAAGTGCTATTTGCCATAAAATTTTTATTGAGAAATATTGAGCCATTGAGATTTTATGAAGCACACAATATACAGAAAAATGCTCATTTTTGGTAAGTTTTGTGCTTCATAA